GTCTTTTCTCTAAGCTAGATTCAGTTGGAAGATTTTTGGCATTTCTCACAGCACAATGTTGAACCCACAGGTGGAACACAGAAAATACATGCAAACTGACATTTCATCCACAGTATGAGAAATAACCCTAGGAGGATAAGTCAGAGCACATTTTGTGGAACATGGCTAAGGCATTCACATGTTTGATTTAGATCTTCAATAGATGCGGCAATTAAAAAAAAATTGGCAAACTCCTGAAGAGTTTGACTTGAACACCTTGCTGGTTGACTACTTTAAGGTCATTTTTTAGGCTCCAAATAAGATAAAGAGAGATCGAGGAGGAATACCAAGCAGGGCCAATCTCTAAAGACCCCAATCATTCTCAGTAAGGGTCTTGAAAATAAAGGTAAAAATTATCTTATTTACCTGGCAATAGAAGTTGGGAGCTGAGTGAGGCCCTTCCTCTGCAGAACCTTCTCATAGAACATAATTATATTTTGGCAACCAGATAGCCTACAAAAAATATTGATGCTTGTTGATGCCTGACTGAGGCCCCTCGTTATGAACTATAACACTGGCAAAGACAAATGGCTCTGTGATGAGTGTATTTAATTTTTCTACATGTAACCTTAGATAACATTAATCTCATTAAAACACATATTTCTCATTTAAATTTATAAAAAATTATACCCTAATTTTACAGCCTCTCTTCCTTGTGCTAAATAGAGGCTAATTTTCCTTTATTTGGCCATATTAATTTACCAGTTCTTTTCTTCCCTCAAGGCTCCAATTTCATCCATCGCCAATGCCATCAGTTGTCTTTACTCCATTACCTTAAAATCATCACTACCCGAGATGAACACATCTCCACAAGCCTGGGCTCCAGGACCAACTTGTGCTCTTGCACCACAACCCTTCCTCCAACAAAACTCTCTAGGAATTTGCCCACTAATCCCAATGGCAACACCAATACACCAGCAACCAGCAGTCATTTTTGGATATGTGATGGTGGAAGAGGGGACATGAGTGCAAAATTTAGGGTTATATTAGTCATTCTCACCAAATCTGGATGGTCCTGCTTTGGATCCATGTTCTAATACAATACAATAGGCTCCTGTTCATGAAAATAAAGGCACTTGGTGTCTCTAGTGGGATCAGCTTTACATTCTTCATTCACCAAGGAGAATGTGGGGGCAGACAGACTATAGGTGTTGAAGGATACAGGAAACTTTATAAAGTTTGTTTGGGAGGCCATGAATTACTTAAGAGTTAGATAGTGGTAACGGTAGCACAATCCAGAATATATGAGAAAACCATTAAATTATACACTTTGAAAAAGGATGGGCTTCATGATATATAAATTACAACTCAATAAAGCTGCTATTTAAAATACATCTTGATTTTAGTAACTTTGGCTCAACTGCATCAGACTGCTCACGATACTGAAAAACACTCTGAAGACTCGGCCTCAGAGACCTGAATTGGCTGAAGAAGCCCCAGGTACCTGGTCCTCCCCATTCCTGCCAAAGTCCAACTTTATTTTTAAAAATAGCTTATCCTTCAAAACTAATGGAAACATTTGTTCTCTTCCTGGGAGACTCTTCTTGATACCCCATTACCCCAGGTAGGAGCAACTGCTCTCTCAATACTTCACATGAAAGACATTTTTTTTTTTAAGATATAATCTTTAGTTGTCAACTGGCCTTTATTTATTTATATGTGGTGCCAAAAATCGAACCCAGGGCCTCATGCTAGGCAAGTGCTCTACCACTGAGCCAAACCCCAGCCCCCAAGACATTTTTTTAATGATACTAGAGCTCAGGATTTACATCTCTGCTTCTCACATTCAACTATGAGCCTGGGAGGGTCAGTGTCTCATTCATTTCTGTATTCAGTGACTACCACAGTGTCTAGTATCAAATTTTTAAAAGATCTTCAGTAATTTTTAAAAATATTGTATACAGTATTTAATAAGTATTATTTACTTATTTAGAGCAGTTGTGTGGCATGCATGAGACCCTGGGTTTAATCTCCAGCATCACACACACACACACACACACACACACACACACTGCATATATATATATATATATATATGTTTAAACAAGGTATACAATGATATTGTCACATATAAGTATCTGGTTGAATCTCTTGCAATTCTGATGTTGATGGACAAGGTTGCTAATATAAATAAGCTGGAGCTTTTCTATATGGAGGGTAGATTTTTGTGCTTTGTTTTTTGGTACTGGGAATTTAACTCAGGGCACTATCCACGGAGCCACATTCCCAGCCCTTTTTACTTTTTGAAACAGGATCTCCCTAAGTTGCTGAGGTTGGCCTCAAATTTACAATCCTCCTTTCTTAGCCTCCCAAGTTGCATACAACCATGTCCAGCTAACTTTCTACTTTCATCACTGAATATATGTAAAAACATTGGAAATAAAGTATGTAAAACAAAATACGACCTTTACATATATATGTTTATATTTGTTGATAATACATTTATTTTGCTTTACAAGCACACACACATTTTTCATAGTAATGTAAAATTTTTGTTACTATTAGGTCCTCTAGTAAGACCTTTGTGTGTTAAGGTCTTCTCTTAAAACAGTTCTGTTTAGAGTTTTTAAAGGAAAATAATGATCTTTTTTCCATGGCAAGCATTACAAACCTAAATACCTATAAGTGTCAGCAACTGCAGAGCAGAAAATATATGGAAAATATTCCCAAAGAACATCTCTGGGAAGCAAACTAACAAGTGTGCCTGTCTCCAGGAAGGAAACTGGGGACTGAGAAGTAGGCATAGAAGAAAGAGTTATCTATCTATTTATTTTTGTGGTTGTGTGTGTACTTTGTTGGGAGTCCAACCCTGGGTCTATTGCCTGCTAAGCATGCACAATACCACTGAGTCACACCCCAGCCCTTCACAGAAGATTTTTTTTTTTTGTCTTCAGACTGTATCAACTACATTAGTGATCCATAAAATGTCATTCTCAACTCTAGGTGAGCATCACTGTGAAGGAATGTGGACCTACAGTTGCCAGATCCGATTTTTTCAAAGAAGTTGAAATGGGAAAATCCAGACTTTTATGTAAAACTTGTGATTTTCCAATGTTGGCCTTATTCAGAATTTAACATGTAAGGCAGGCCAAAAACACCAGAACTACAAGCCACATCTGGCTCACAGGCCAACCAGTTTATCATCTTTAAAATCTGATGTGTGGCTTATGATTCCAGTACCATAAATATAACTTAATGGTGGAATATTAAAAAAGAAAACTCAGGCTTGTAGGTGAAACCATGCCCTTCCTGCCCCACCACCCATTAAGTCACTATTGTTCTCTTAAATCTCCGCTTCTCTTTTGAGTCTTCAAAAACACTCTCAACATTTGACCAATGAAAATGCAAAATACACCTGGTTCAATCAAGGAATCTGCCCATCATCCTAGCATCTGCTCTGAAGAGTGAAAGGTGGATCAATTTCAAGTTGCAGTTTTTCCAGCCAACTAATGAGAAATATATAAACTATATCTAGCTGGGTGGCAAACCTTCCCCAGGCCATCTCATCAAGTGATTGCAAGTTGCACAGATCTCCATTACTTTTCCCACACCACCAGGCAGGACGGTGCTGCTCGAAAGACAAAATAGTGGCCAAAATCAACATGTTCTCAGCCCTGTTTGGGAATCCAATCATGGCTCTGGGAGAAATTGTCAGAGTCACTCAAAGTCCTGCAAAGATGCCAGTCATCTCCTGAAACTGAAGAGAAGAGATTCCCTAGGGTTCTAACTATTGTCCATCAGTGGAAGAACTTGTCTGTTTAATGCCCACATAACACCAAAGCAAGTTTAAAAAGAATCAGTGTCAATTCTAAGTCCAGCACCTTACATGTACTAGCTTGATTCCTGGAGCATCTGAAAAATCTCACCTTTGTCTGCTTAAAGCTCCAAGGAGTTCAGCTCTGCTATTTCCACATAGTTTCCTATACTCAGTGCCAGCTTCACCCCTCCAAACAGCAACATTTTCACATTTGGCTGGTCCAGTATTGGGCTTGGCCAGCTACTCACTGACAACTCGGGGCCTTCCCCTGTATCAAGGATACACAACCCATTACAAGGAGTTTACCAGCAAACAGGACTAATGGCAACTCAGCACCTGTACCACTCCTGCAGGACATGGGAAGTCAAGGGTTTCCTGGACTTAAAACAGACAACTTGTGGAAATGCCGACACAGGCCCCATTTCTACTAATAGCTTCTTCACCCAGGTGCTAAAGGGGAAACATGATGATTTAGGAGATGCTGATCTCACTTAGTCACCCATTTTGAGGAACTGTACATTTTGCCAATTGACCCACATAGCTCCATTACCATGTACACACAGCATTCCCTTTTCTAAGAACACTGAACATTTGGAAAAAAACAAAATGATAAGGTATTTTTTAAATTCCAGACTTTTTTTTTTTTTTTTTTTTTTTGCAGGAGGAGGGTAGTTTGCAATGATCCAGGAAATAAAGAGCTGCAAAATATTCTAGTGGAGAAACAAATTATAACTCTCCCACCAAGGTTGTTACAGGAGAATCCATTTCATAATCGCATTCAGTGCTTAAGATGACTGATCAAATTGTGAAATACAAGCCAGTGTGTCATTTCTAAAGACCATGGGGCCAGAGCCCACCAGCTGTGCTAATTTGCATTTTGATACACGGACACTGGAAGCAACTCTCCAATGGCCACACTCATGCTCATCTTCAGTACGGACAAGGAGTACGTGGAAATCAATAACTTGTACTTTTTCTATCATTAATTTTGTGCATTAGGCAACAAATGGACAGTGACCCACACACGCCATTGTCAATCACTACTGAAGATTCTTTCTTCTCATAACTATCAGACTCGCTTAGTGATATGACCTCTGAGGAAAAGGGTCAAAATTAATTGCTTTCTACCTTTTTCCAGAAAGACAAATATCAAATAGGTTTCAAACATCAATTCCTCAGTACAAAAAGCTTGTTTTGTTCTTACCTCGGCAGCTTGGGTCTCTTGATGCAGCAATGTGAGACCAGTCAAGTCTTCCAAGAAGGAATGTGAAGAATTAAACACCTTTGCTAGGAAATTAAATCCTTCTCGTTCATATTGATCAAGAACCTGTAAAAAAAAAAAAAAAAAAAAAAAAAAAAGAATTGTATTTTTAGAAAGGAAGATGCAGATTTTAAATGCATATTTAAAAAGACTTTCATTTCTAACAAGAACTTGCTATGTTTGTTTACGAAATATACCCCCAAATCTTGTGTATTGAGGGCTTGCTCAATAAACAAGAGGTGGCAATGCACAGAGGAGGGGCCCTTGGAAGGTGACTGGATCATGAGGGTTCTAAGCTCATCACTGGATTACTCTATTGATGAATAGCTTAACAGGCTATTGGGAGGTGGTGACAAGTTTAGGAGGTAAGTCCTCGTTGGAGGAAGTAGGTCATGGGGGGCAGGTCCTTGAAAGGTATATCCTGTTCACATATCCTTCAATTTTCTCCTTTCTGCTTCTGGCTGCCATGAAAGGGGCTCCCCACCATGATGTTCTACCTTACTATAGGCCCCAAAAGAGCAGAACCAAGTGACCTCTGACCCCATAAGCCAAAACAAACCTTTCCTTTTGGGGGGTTGGGTGTACCAGGCATTGAACCCAGGGGCACCATGCCACTGAGCTACATCCTCAGTGTTTTCAATTTTTAGTGTGAAATAGGGCCTTGCTAAGGCTGAGGCTATCCTCAAACTTGTCATCCTCCTGTCTTGGCCTCCTGAGCTGCTGTGATCTTAGGCATGTGCCACTGCGCCCAGCTGCCTTTCTTCCTTACAAAGCATTTCCTCTCAGGTATTTTGGCATAGTGATGGAAAGCTGACTAGCACACTTGTTAAAAGGGAAATCAAAAGGAAAAGTTAGAAAAGTTATCTCTAAAACATAGAGATAATGGTGTAATTTGGTAGGCAAAAAACTGGGCATGCTTAGTATTTATCACTTTTGTCCTTCTTAGAATAACAATATCATTTTCTAGTTCAGATCCCAATTTTTCCCAAATAAAGTGTCATGTAAATTCACCAAAAAATCTAGAAGATTTGAGGTTACTGATTCTAAAATTCACTTGATAGAAAACAAACACCAGATGGAGAAACAGCCAAGAAAAAGAAATTTAAAGTATCACAGGAAAGGGAGGAACAAAAGGATTTTGTTAGAAATGTGACACACAAGCTACCCAAATGTATTTTTAAACCTACCCAAAAGCTAAAATGAAAAAGAAAATACCAAGTGCTGACAAATATGCAAAACAACCAGGACTCTCACAGAAGTGCAAAATGAAACAATCATTTTAGAAGTTTAACACTTATATGCCCTATAATCTAGCAATTCTACTCATATATATGTGTATTTTATTACACACACACTGAACAAATGCGTACAGATGTGCAACAGAAGGCACAAGTGCAAGTGTCCACAGCAGCACTATTCACAACAGCTCCAAACTAGAAAACACTTAAGTGTACACTCAGTAAAATGAATAAAGACGTTTTAGAATCATCATAAAAAAAAAAAGATAAAAGGCCAATAGTCTTGTAATGAGAACAATGAGAAAAGTAACTTGTTCTTAGAAACAAACAAAAACAATTGTCACAGGGATCAATGATCACAGGAACTCTAAACTGTAGAAAGTAGCAAATATTATTTTATTCTATGGGCTGAGGCTTCCTAATGTGAAAATATGAAATTCAAAATGCTTCAAAATCCAAAACTTTCTGAGTGTGGACATGACACAATGGAAAATTCCACACAAACCTCAAGTGGTAAGTCTCATTCATAACAAAGGTACAACAAAAATACTATATAAAATTATCTTTAGGCTGCATGTATAGATACATATGAAACATAAATGAGTTTTATGAACTCTAAGATATGCAAATATTCCAATATCTGAAACACTATGGTTGTAAGCATTTCAGAGGAGATACTCCACCTGAGTTACTTGAATCTTTAAAACCATGTGCATATATTACTTAAACAGTATTAAAACTTTAATTTCAGTGCCAGAGAAAGGGCTCCAAAGAGGCAGAGGAAGAAACCCTGAACCACCCATGAAGAAGGTGGCAGCTCTCCCCAAGGCACAGCAGTGAGAAGGACAGGGTGAGCAAAGGTGCTATAGTGAAAAGGGAGGCAGGATCTAAGCAGCAGGCACAAGATCATCTGCTGCCAGAAGAGATTGAGGATGGGAGGGCCATGGAGCATGCACAAAATGGGGAAGCTATGAGAGGGGAAGCTAACCAAAGCACATCACCGTGCAAGCAACCCGAGTCAGGACAGAAACATTTTTTGGAAAAAGGTGATTAAGAATCCATCAGAGCCCAGACACTGGGGACTGGCAGGAAAAAAAGATAATAGAGACAAGGCCAATACCCAGGGGCTGGTGAGCACCATCAAAGGACCCGAGAACAGTCCAAGGCTGGTAAAGAAAGATGACCTGCAGGCAGTGGGATCAAAGGTTGGGAACCCTAGAGAGCTGGAGGGGCAGGGTATCCACAAAGTCAAGTCTCAGGCTGATTAGCCACAGGAAATTAATTGGACAACCAAGGCCTGGATAAAAAGGCATTTAATAAATAATTCCTCAGTAATAATGAGATTCCTTATAAACCAGGATGTTATCTTAGGAAGAATGTGCATGAAAATTAAATGACCTTTTTCAAAATTATAAATACTTTGTATTTAATAATCAACTTATTTCTGAGTGAAACCCTAAGCTTGGTAAATAGCTACCTTATGCCAGGATTCCAGTAAGATAAAAGATGAAATGAGTTTGAAATGGACAAAAACTTAGGGGGGAAACAAGACTGGAATAATTCCAGACATGATACTTTTTTGGAACTTACTAAACTTTCAGATTTGAAGCCTATGTTTCCACAGATAATTTTGTAATGCCACAAATCTGACAGTGGAAAAACTAACAGAAGGGAAGAACAAAGGACAGGCAATCAGGATGTACAGAAAGTTTAATGCAGAAACATTATTAATAGCACTGGCTGAAAATTATGTGGAAAAACTTAATCCTCTAGGGGCATATTTAATCATGCAAGTGTTTTCCAGTATTCTCTTTATGTGCTGTGAAGTTAATCTGTGTTACAACAATAAGCAGCTTATAAAAGGTATGTGGATTTTCCCCCCTGCTATAAACAGTTTAATCTTCTTAGAGGGGAAAATGTGTTTAAAACACACACACACACACACACACACACACACACACACACACACACACACACTCACACACACACACAGAGGGAGGGAGGGAGGGAAAGATGCTGTTACAATGAATCTGAGCAGCTTGCTGGTGTACTTAAAATACCCTATGTCTCTTAGGTGCCTTAAGTGGATTATATAAGACATGATCTGAGAACACATATTATGTAATGTACATATTACATTTTGCAGGGTTATATTACTCTAAAGAGTTTGCTACATAAAGAAGTTATAATCACTTAGAATAAAGATATGCATCCTTTCTTGATCCATGATTTTCCTTCATCAACTGTTTTATAAGGCAGATTTTCTTTAATCATGACATATACAAACGTACACCTCTGGACTAAGATGGTAGAATCTTTCCTTAAACACAACTGTAGTGATGAGCACTTCCCTAGCCTGTGCCAGACCCTAGGAACATCACATGCTCAGCCTTTGATGATACCTTATTCTTTACTGAATGAAAACCCATAGTTTCCAGCTAAGCATTTAAGACCCTCTATAAACCCTCATTAAGACCCTCCAATTGAGGGGAACTCTCTGTAAAATCTCTTTCATGAGACAGAGATTTTCAGACTATACCCATATTTCAGGATTCAGAGTTTATCTTCTTTTTTTCTGATATGGGGTCTTGCTATAATGCCTGGGCTAGGCTCAAACTTATGGAATCAAATGATCCTCCTGCTTCAGCCTCTAAATTAACTGGGACCACAGGTGTGTGCAACTACCCCTGGCCTATATACTTAAAACAAGGATCCCAGGAAGCTCTCCATCTTTAAAAAAATAAAATGTTTATATATTTTCAAAGGGGGAAGCAAACAGTTTCTACGAACCTCTTTATTCAAGTCTTTTCTAAAAAATATTGTTTTAGTTGTAGATGGACACAATATCTTTATTTAATGTGTTTATTTTTATGTGGTGCCTCACGAACCCAGTGTCTCACACATGCTAGGCAAGTGCTCTACCACTGAGCCACAACCCCAAAAGTCTCTTGCCTAGAAATAATACTTGCTCTTGATGATTTACAAATACATGTGTATATGTTTCTAAATAACTTATTTGAAGTAATAAGGCAAAACACTACTTCCCCTGGGAAAACTGAAGAGACAGATGGGTGGATAGAGAGAATCATGGAGGGGGAGCTAAGGTACAAGCTCACTAAAAGACAGAACTAATCATAAGACCTACAGCCCTTCCCCTCCCCCTACACCTTACCACAATATCATTAAAACCCATTTATAGCCTTTCCCCAATACCTAATGTCTGGCTAGCAAGAAGCAAGGCATATTAAAGGCAAAACAAAACAAAACAAAAAAAGTTTGAAGAGACAGAGCAAACATCAGAACCAAACACGGCAAGAATGTTGAAATTATCAGGGAATTTAACACAATTATGATTAATCTGCTAAGGGTGCTAACTGACGAAGTAGATACATGCAAAAACAGATGAAAATAGGAGCAAAGAGATGGAAATCGTAAAAAAAGAACAAAACAAAATTCTAGAGCTCAGAAACATGTAACAGAAATTAAAGTCTTTGATGGGATCATTAGTAGACCAGACACAACTCGGAAAATAATCTCTGAATTTGAGAATAAATCAGTAGAAACTTCCAAAGCCAAAAAAAAAAACAGAAGACAAAAAACAAGAACAAAAACAAAAAAAAAAAAAAGCAAGATAGAAAATCCAAGAACTGAAGGTGTACCATTCAAAATAAGAATACAAAAGGGGGCGGGAGAGAGAGAATACTTAAAATATTTAAAACAATAATGACTGAGAATTTCCCCAAACTAATATCAAACACCAATCTATAGATTCAGAAACCACAGAACACCAATCAGGATAAAAGCTGAAAAAGCTGCACCTGGACACAA